GGAAGTGCGCTAGCTCGTTAGCTGCTGCGGAAATCTGAGAAAAAACTGCTGTATTTGTTTGGCTGATATGTATTGCGCCTCTGCGAACACACCATATGCGAGAGATCAGCTGCAGTTTTGGGTAGAATAGCCTGGATAAGTTGGAAGCGCAGAGCTCATGTGAGTGGGTGTGAGTGCGCTGTGTGTTCGTCGAAGGAGTACGCGCGTATTCGCATAATGGGATTAGATGCATCACTGATAGAAGGAAAACGACAGCTGCAACAGAGAGACGAGAAATCGAGGAAGTAGGGGATTTAGCTGGGGTAGGGTAATGCTGCTGGTGTACAAAATTTTGGTGAAAATTGGGTAGATCGGATTATTTTAGGGGTGCCGCATATCCTGAAATTTTTTTATGTTGCTACCGAATTTTCTTGATTATAAGTTTTTCAGAGAAGCAGTTACATACTTTGATAGAGCGCTTAAAAAGTTCGAAACTGTATGCAGTAGGCGTTCCGGTTACCTATCTTCTAGGAGAAACTGAAATCACGTCAGACATATTCCTTCACAGAATGGCATTTTCAAAGGTACATAGGACAGTTTCTAATATGAATAAATCTGCTTATACCGTAAATCTACAGTATGAAATTATAATGAAACATTTTTTGCTTGGTTACACTGTTGTCCTATTGGCTGATGTAGAAAAAAGTTTCTTGTCTGTCATTGTCTAAATTACCAAAGTTCTCGCTTTGAATCATTTGTACCTAAGGGAGAGCAAACAGTTTGCTTTCTGTGTTTCTCAAATTATAGTTATCTCTCTATTCTTCAATTTTTAGCTGCTTAATAATGTTTTACTTGCCTGCTAATCATTTAAGTCGTTTTCTTCTCCAAACTCATTCCGTGAAGATTCAGTTTTCTCAGTTGGATACGTGATCTAGGTATAAGATTTCTGGAAAAACAATTGAGATTTTTTGCTTGAAAGGCTGATCTTTTACTCCCTTTAAAAAAGAAAATTTTCTCCTTCTTTCTGTTAAGAAAATTTATTAGAATACACTAATTTTTTCTGAGAAGATTCTGAGTATCCTCGTTATCACTATTTCGTGTCCATTTTCCCAATTTTTTTTCTTTGTGTTGAATGTTATTCCTTGTCTCTCTTCTAATCTTGATCCTATAAGATTGCTTTCAACTTTGATGATTATATCTTATGATCAAGCATCTCTTATAGTTCCATTACCTCCTCAAGCATCTTCTCTCTCACCATCCACGTCGTCATATCAAGCCGTATGACTCAAAGAAAATTTGATTTGCGCCACTGAGTGGATATCCTTCGGATTGCAATCGAGCGCCATACGCCCGCCGGTTTATAACTAAAGCTAAGAC